GTAAGAAGCGCAGTGCAAAGATGGAACCGTCCGGCGCCGGCACAGTCTACCATTCAGGCGGCAACGGCCGGCGCCGGCCGCCGCGCCGCTCCGGCAAGATGTTTGACTTTACACCGCTATTACTAGAAAAGTTGTGGACCGATTTACCTATTGCTTACACGGGAGGATTTGCAATTCAATTCTGGACAGATGCTGAAAGTTTGACGTTAATATGATAGTTATGGCGTGAGTTATTGGCGAAAAACAGGTGGGGTTGGAGAAATCCGCCCCTTCCATCGACCGTGTTACGTTGCACTACTTATTGCTATATCATCCAAAGTTATCGTTGGCCCACTCTAATTTTCTCAGCACGTATGCCTTACGTGTGGTGGAAGATAATATCTAAATTTGAGCAAAATCGAAGGGTACCCATTTTTCACAAATAAGATTTTAAGAAATTAATTCAAAATAAAATAAATTCAAAATCACCAAAAAATGTTAAAATTGCCAAATTTAACTAGCATAACTCCATATGTACACGTTTCCGTTTGTTTGAAATTAATAGCTTCAAAAATGTTGAAGCTATAGATCTTTCAAGATTGCAATACACGTCCAATTCTGCTAAAAAAGCAGAAGTTTAGCGGCTTGTATCTCTGTAGCCCGAGGGCATATGACAAAATCCTTTGACCCTCAGAGGTTTCACCCAATAGCCAACAAGCATACCAAGTTTGAACAAAATCGCAGAGGTGGCCGATTTTGGCTGTCCCGGTTGACATGGAATGCCCCCTTTACGATGTAATCATGTTCGTATCAACTTGAACGGTGTGTCGTCTCGTCTCGGCTAATCGACAGGAAGGATATCGGCGTCACGCTCTTGCTGTGCACTCACGCCTGTAATGGCAGAAGGCTTTTGTGAATCAAAACATTAAACCAGTGGTTGAGTTGCGGAAGTAAAAGACAGGGCTAGGGTTTGATTGTAAGTATTTTTGCCAGAATATCATGAGGCAATTACCAGCATGCATCCGTTAAAAAGGCCTAGCTTTAAGAATAATATATCATATAAGCATTCATTATTTCTATTTTATAGTTAGCTCTTTCATGATCCCATGTTAAGTCCAGTCAACGAGAAAAAAAGATTCACTTCACCCCGCTCATTCCTTTATGCCACGACTCTGGCTGTTTCGAACGGGTTGTGACTGTTCTGATATCGTTACCCCTTCCCACTCCACCGGTCACCAGCGTGCAGCTGCCGGGCGATTCTGACCAAGTTCTGACCGCTCTGACTGACAGTACATGGGTGGTAGTATCGACTCTGACTGACAGTCAGTGGGTGGTTCTCACCGCTCTAACAGACTGACACGACCGTCACTGACAGCCGCTGCCTACCAAACACGCCAGCCAGCCAGTGCCGACAGACAGACATCCCGTCACCTAACCAGCCGTGATAGCGCCGCCTCCCGCCGCAGGTAAACATGTAATTAAACAGGTGCGTGTGACGCATGAACGCGACGCGCGCCGATCCAGGAGTGCTAATTAACCTCTCCCGGAGGCCGACACTGGCGCAACGCACACGGGAGAGCGCCGGCCGGCACTTCCGCCGCGGGACGTAATGGACCCGGCGGCACCCTGTTAAACTGAAACGGCCCCTCGTTGGGGCCGGTGCCTCTGCGTGATGGATTGGCGGCCTGAATTGCTCAGGCGGCGTTTAATCACAGCGGTTGGGGTCAATAATGTCTGTTGTGGTCAGATATAGCCTATAGGGGGGGGGGGGGGGGGGGGCGAGGACAGCCTTGAGGTACGGACCAGAAAACAAATACCTGATGCATGTTGCAATGATGCAAAATTATTTAACCGTTGTAAAAATGTGATAAGCATGTGGGTATTGACAGAATAACATCATTCATTCAATTATTCTCGGTTGTTTTTCAATTGTTTTCAGAGCTAGTCCTATCAATAACGGTATAAGAAAAACATACCCTTGTCTAGACGCATTATTTCAATTTTCCACAGCCTTACACCAAGCAGCGGTACGATAAACAGCATGCTAGTAATCGCTATTCGGAATGTTCGGTATTATTGACGCCACCTGTAGGCTTCAAATTTCAATGCACGCAGCGCGGGATGCATAAAGCGTCCGAGGTAAATACATCTATGCTGTTTTACAAATACATCTATGCTGTATACTCTAATGCTGCTCTCATTTGAAGTGCTGGTAACCTGTTCCTTGTTGTTCCATGTAATTCCCATCCGGTGTTAATGACATATGCTTTGCGATCCTTGCATTGTGTTAGTGACGTGTTGTCTTTCACTTTCCGTCCAGTACCAGTGTCCAGTGACATTTGCTTTGCTGCAATTCCAGTTAGGCTTTATACCTACAGCGGGCGTGCTGTGATGAAGCACTCGAGTCTCAGTTTCCTTAGCCGACACGTGCCCTACGGCCTACGCAGTTCTCTACCTGTGTTAGTGACGTGTGCTTCATTGCAGTTCCCGGCTAGTGTTAGTGATGATTGCTCTATTGCAGTCACCGTAAGTTAGTGAGGTGTTTCCTGTTACAGTTCCCATCCAGAGTGACGATGTGGTTCCGTTATCGCTCTTGTCCAGTGTCAGTGACGTTTGCTACGTTCCAGTTCCCCGGTAGTGTTAGTTACCTGTGTTCTATTGCAGTTTCCATCCATGTGTTAGTGATCTGTGCTCTATTGCAGTTCCCATGAAGGGCCGCTGGTGATGTGTTTCATTGCAGTTCCCAGCCGGTGCTACTGACTTGTGTTCTGATGCAGTTACAGTTTAGGTCAGGCTGGGGTATGAGTATCATGTGCTCTGTCGCAGTTGCGGTCTGTTGTAAGTGACTTGTTTCTTGTTGCAGATGTCATCCAAAGTTTACGATGTGGTACCTACCATTATCGCTCCTCAGATATATTAGTGACGTGTGTTCTGTTGCAGTTCCCCGCTAGTGTTAGTGACGTGTGTTCTGTTGCAGTTCCTCACCGCGTTAGTGCCGTGTGCGTGCTCTATTACAGTTCCCGTCCGGTATTTGACATGCATTCCGTTGCAGGCTATCGCTCCTAACGACTGATAGTGGCACGCAGTTTCTATGTGCCCAGAGGAGGTCGATGTTCCGGAGTATGTCCCTCTCGGCTGACCGGCCCGCCTCGACGTGGACCCATCGAGGCTGCGGGACCCCGACATAATGGCTGCTCCGGTGGTCACCAGGAGTCCCTTTGGCTCATGGTATGATCCCTGAGTGATAGCCGATAGCTGTTATTTAACCCTAGAACGCCTAGGGGGGGGGGGTTGTATCAACCCCCCCCTGAGGTTTTTTCGAAGTGCACGCTAAACGGCTTGTCGTAGCGGGCTGAAATTTTCAATACCCTCTGGGGCAACCTTTGCGCATCTTTTGCCGAAAAAAAATTGATCGGGTCATGTCAGGTCACGGAGTTATGACGTCATAAGAGGTACAGCCTCCGGCCGACAGTTACCAAACGTGTGCGCCGAATCCCTAGGTTTTCTGCCGGTGATACCCACATTGTTTGATGGATCATGATGAAACTTCCCATGCATGTTGGGGCAAGCATTGGCTATCGTGTGGTGCAAGAAAATTGACCGGGTCAGGTCAGGTCACGGAGCTATGACGTCACAAGAGGAACAGCGTCCGGTACTATTTTTGAAAAGCGCCCGAACCACTATTTTGCTAATTCTTGTCACCTCAATGGGAATATGCAGCAATATTAGCTTCTATAGGGAGCAAATGGACCTCCCAAATCCAAAAATACAATCAGATTTCAAAAATTTAAATTTTGATTTTTTGAATTTCTGCCGCCGACTGTGACCTTGCCGACTTCCGGCGCTCCCAACGCGCCATTCTTAGAGCTAGGGAAACGAAATACATACCAAACGATAGAGAATTGATCAAGGAACACGATAGTGAAGGTTTCAAGTCGATATCTCCCACCGTTTTGCCGCAATCGCCGCGGAAAGTTGAAAAAGTTTGATTTTTTCGGAAAATTTGACCTTTGACCGGTCATAAGTAGGTCAAATGTTGACCTAGGACCAAAAAATATACCACCAATCGCGAGATCTCGTTGAGAGCAATCCGTTGGTTTTTTCCGCTAAGCTCTACGACCTTCCGTTTCGAAACGCCAGGGGGGGGGGGTCGTAACAACCCCCCCCCCCTGATCGTTCGTGTTATGAGAAATGGCCTGGTCGTGCGAGGGTTAAGTCCCGGAACAGAACCCGGTTTATATTACGTTCACGAATGCAATGTGACATTGGCGACAAACGTTCTGGCGTCTTTAGCGCAAGCGTCAGTCACAAGAAAGCTTCAACTTGACAGCGTAAAATGCGGAAATAATCCCTGTTGTTTTCCTACTACATAACAGTTCATTTGCAAGTGCCGTTCCAAGGAATTACCCGAACGGTCGAATAATATTTTATCGCTAGATATTTTAGATATTTCTCCTCAGTTGTTATTCTGCTCTCAAACAAATATGCATAACAGCGTGTTAGGCATAGTCCAGACCACTTCAATATCCATGAATTCTCAGAAAGCAAGCTTATGGAATTACACCTTTCACCTGGGATAACCAGATACGAACCCACGACTCATGCCGCCCAGCTGGGCATTTTCACACCACGGCCCGGAGGAAAATTCCCTTTAGATAGCCGAAAGATGTCACTGATAACCCAGTACCGCTTATTTTCGCTGAAGACGGGACTAGGGCGGTTAATGTTTATGTCGATTTATCATCTCACACACTTAACTCACCCAGTTTCCTACGGGTGGTTAGTAGTCGCTCTCACATCTTACATCCAGATGTACGTACAGCAGCCATTCATCGTCGAGATCGTACACGAGTCAGCTATCGATCATCTCGGAAAACATTCGAGGATATTTGGAGCCATCTCACGCACCGGACCAGCATCATTCATCAATACTAAGACCCAGGAGCCTTGCGGTGCTGAGAAATGAGGCCATAAAAAACGTTCAGGTTTATTTAGCGATGATCTGGAAACTCAAACTCACATTCAAATGAAATGAATCTTTATTAGTTGTCCTCCGTACAGTCCAAACGAGAAATTTCGCCCGCTTTTTGGGTCGCTCAGATCTCCGACGTTCTGTACGAAAGGACACGGGGTCGAGAGATGCAGAAGCCGGCGCGGTCGGGCGTACCGGAGACCGTCCGACCGCGCCTCGGGGGAGACAGAGACAGAGACAGAGGGAAATAGCAGATACAGAACCCCGGAGACAGCACAGCAAGGTACTGAGAGGGCGCGCGCGGCGGGGTGCGGCGCCGTGCACCAGACCGGCTCGCTCTGCCGCGCCCCACTGGCCGCCCGTCCCTGCACACAGCGCGCCCGCCACGCAGCTCACCACTCGCACAGCTCAGTCACACAGTCAGTCGCTCGCTCTCTGGCGCTCAGGCACGCTCTCTACCTCAGAGTCCGTTTGTCGAGGTCGGTGGTCAGGCGCCGGCGGCGCGGCGACGCCCCGGTGGGGGCCGGCCGGGCGCCGCACATGGCACCAGGCAGTAACAATTTCCTCCGCCCCGTCTCGGCGGCAGCGCGACGCGCAGTACAAAAACAACAACAGCGTGTCTAGGGGGTGGGGGGCGGCCGCGCCGCGGGCCGCCGCGCTGGCCGTCCGCCCGCATCTGACACGCTCAGAGTCCCTCCTCCCGCCGGGCCGGCCTCGCCGGCCTATCACAGGGCGGTCGGCCGAGCGCGCGCGCGTCGTCGTAGCGTTGATCGTCGTCGCGTCCAGGCGTCTCGTCCGCTACACGCACGCCGCATACCTCTCTCTCGCTCGCTCGCTCTCTCGCTCTCACGCGCGCCCACCGACGCGCCACCCGAGGGTCCGATGGGGGTTGAGTCGCGGCCATCTGTGGGTCAGGCACACACGGGTCACGTCACACCACTCATACCGGCCGCTCACACAGACAGGCACTCGGCGCACAGCGGGCTACGCGAGACGGCGCTGTGACTCAGTGTGCACAATAGGATAACACAATGAGCTCGAACTTAGCCGCCATACTGTGCATGTCTGAACTCGCTCGGAAAATGATAAAACTTTCTAAGACTACGTAGCAAAATTATCAGTTTTTAAATTCACATTAGCATCAGCTGATCGGTAAAAAACGTGATCCAAAATATGAAGAACCTGAGTCAACGTAACGCCATCCAGCACGGCCCTGCTGTGCACTCCCACACATCCTGAGGTGTTTGAACGCTTCTATACACATTCAGTCATCTCAGCATACATGTGTAGCCCATATATCAAACGTTCTTTAATCCAAACACTCGTATGAGTTCGACCATAGATAACAGTAGACCCAAAAATGTCATCCAAATAAAAGGTGAGGATACACAACATATAAATCACGTCAGGTAAGATATGAGGCTCGCGCTCGTGTTTCGGTCAAAAGTTTATGGGTCCCTTACTGCTTGCTGCTATACTTTGTGATATATCTACTTTTCGGTCTACTGTTACCTATGAACCTACAGAACCATACGGAGACATGCCATCATCCTTATATCCTTACACACCATCCATCCAAGAACTTGCCCGTCGATATATAAGCTAAGTGTTGAAACGTACAAATCTAAAGGAAATTGCATTTATAGCGAAAGGTCCCTTTTCACCATGCTGCAAGCTCGGTTGACCAAGACGGATCGAACCGCAGCTAAAAAATTAAGTACGGAAAGCACCCTGTGCATTTGTACAGCGTAGTTATACAGGCAGAGCGGCAACAAGCAGCCAACCACCAGAAGGATCCAGACTGAAGGATTCATTGTACATCCCAACGCTGAAGGATCTTAGAAAACCGGAAAAGAGGAAGAAGGAAAAAGGAAACTTTCTCGGATATTTCGATCGGAAGCCATTGTGGTGGTTCGGTATCTAAGAAAAAGTATGCTTCGTAGATAATACTTGACTGGAGATCAGTCTTTTTGCGACCATACATATAATCGACGATTGATGCTGTCCAAATAGTTCGCATGGGAGCTAAGCAAACATACGTATATCGGGAATACGGGACACTCTTCACACCCAGTCTCCGTCGCCCTTTTAACAGCTCTAAATGACATCAGCTTCGCAAACCGCTGAGTCGCCACCTTTCCACCGACCAACCCGTAGCTCTGTACCTGCACGTCACTTCATCCAGAAGCCTCCTTCCCCACTCTACCCCATCAGTAACGCCTCTCTCCCTCTCCCGGGGCACTCACCAGCTACTGGCGGCGCTCTTCATCTTGCGCAGCTCCTTGGTGGCCCAGGTGGCCAGCGTTTTGGTGCGTGCCGTCTTGGAGCGCCGGCCGAGCGTCAGCAGCTCGTTGATGGCCTCGTTATCAACCAGTGGCAGGATGGCGCTCCCGAACGCCGACAATAGGTCACTGCGGGGGAGAGCTTGGAGGTAAGATATTACAACTCAGATAACAGGCGAGTAAATTATTGAAGCATTATTTCACACTGCAACTCATCAAACTCTTAACCCTCGGGTACCCAACAGACAACATTCCCTCTCCATCTGCCCATTTCCCCCTCCCCACTTACCCGAGCAGGCCGGCGGCGGCTCCCAGGCTGCTCTCTGATCGCTCCTGGTCGCTGGCCACCACGCAGATGAACTGGATGATATAGGCCACGTGCGGCTGGAGCAGAAGCACGTCCGGACTGGCCACCTGACCGTCGCCCTTGAGGCCCTGGATGATGCCTGAGTAGGCGTCCAGACACGTCTCCCGCAGCTCGTTCAGGTAGTCGACCATCTCGTAGTCCGACTGAGGGTGGAAAGGGAGGGGTGTTATAGTCGCGTAGAAGACGCGAATGATACACAAGGGGAGGCACTGGGAACTTAGATCCTATGGTCAAAAATTGTCAAAATATTGCCCCAAGATGTGAACAGTTGTTTATTGAAGATTCGATGAAAATAAAATTAAAAAGGGATGGAGCGCACTACTTGCACACGTTACAACACAAAAGTCCCCCCCCCCCCGAGTTGTTTTCTCCCCAATGCGAAAATAAATCAAAAATGAGGAGACAGGGAACAGCGTCTTGAGATCACGAACTACACGTAGAAAACCTATGAAAAGCAAAATGGTAAAAATAGGACATTCAAATCAAATCAGCAGTGACGCTCACCCGGTCCACCTGAGCCTGCGAGGCCTGCATCAGCGTCTGCAGTGACACGTCCAGGTACTTTTTGAACTCGCCGCCGATGGCCAGCGCAATGTCACCGAACACGGTCAGAATGTGCGGCTTCACCGACCGGTGAACCGACTGGTTCTGAGGGACAAAGGGCAAACACGGTCAGAATGTGCGGCTTCACCGACCGCGACCGGTGAACAGACTGGTTCTGAGGGCGGGGGGGGGGGGGCACGGGTACAGTCAGAATGTGCGGCTTCACCGACCGGTGAACGGACTGGTTCTGAGGGAAGGACGGGGTACGGTTTAGAGGTGGCAAAATGTGGACCCGAGGACCCGGTCCAAAGAACCAGTCTGGACCCATATGGGTCCAGACCGGTTCCTGGAACTTTTCTGACGGGTCCAACCGGGTCCTACCATAAGCTATACATCTTGCACACTACACATTATTGCAAAATATGAAGTGAATGTTTCTTTGCACACAGTAGCTCATGAGTATTCCAAGTGGGAAATATGCTGTTTTACATGATGCAACTAATGATACCTACAAGTAGTTTGTATTAATTGTCTTTTGGGGAACGGCTCCGACTGGTTCCGATTCCAACTAAGACCGGGTCCGACTGGTTCTAGAAATGTCCAGCCGGGTCTGGTTCGAGTCTGGTTCCCAAAATTTTCATCTTTTGCCACCTCTAGTACGGTTACATTAGACGTCGACTTGCATGATTCAATAGCCGATGGATACAATGCGTTTATAACAGTCTGAGATGTTGACTTTGGATAAAATGTGAAAGCATAAATATGATCTAAAGGAAGCATTTGCTTGCAATACGGACACATAACTTCCCTTAAGTACACAACTGTCTTCCAAGTCATACTGTCCGTTCATTCCATGTGTGTCACTTTTCATATTTTAAATATTCACAGCCGTATCCAATGATCGTACTCACCCCTAAGTTCTCTAGCAGGATGTTCATGATGTCGTCGCAGTGTGGCAGCACTCGCGCGCCCACCGCTCGGCAGATGTCGCCCACCAGGCCCACAGCCACTGAGCACACCTGGTACTCGGTGTGGTTACGGAGTCCGATCAGCAGGTACGGCTTAAATGCGTCCAGGTACTTGATGAACTGCTCACCGAGTACCTCGGCCAGCACCGAGACGGCGTTCAGTGCGTCCTCCTGGACACTGCCCACGCGCGCTGAGGGTCGAGAGGGTAATAAGGTTGGTTAGAAATAAACAGGGTGCACCGTAGTGACACTGCTGAGAGGGACACGACAATGATTAGAAAGAGACGAAATATGCTTGACAGATAACGGACAGCAATTATTAGGGACGGGGGCATTGGAAGCAGGCCACGCGATGTAGGAGCCGATGCCATCCGAGGTTACGGAACCACCCATGAGCCAATCGAATCATCAGCTATTCCAATTCCCTCCCTTTCTTACCCAACGATAACACTACTGTCTACGGTTTCAGGCACGGCAGCCGGGAGGGGAGGCCACTCACGGTTGGCGAACATCTGTAGCAGCGCCGTCATGATCTGGTCCGAGATGCGCGGCGCGTCCTCGGCTGTCACCTTTCTCAGCACACTGCTCAGGGTGGCGCACAGCAGCGACTGGAGGTCGTTGTACTGGGCCCGGTCACTGCCGGGGGACATGGGCAAGTCAGATAGGGAGATGCTTGTTCTGTTTGTTTATTGGGACTTAAGGACGCGTCGACTGCAAAGGTCATTTTGCGCCCATAGAATATAGGGGTATGCCTCACTTGGTCGATGTTTGATAGCACGGCATCAAGAAGCAGCTGTTGCCTTTTTCGTAGTTAAACTTAAGCTATAAATGTTGTTCGAGAGACAGACCTTCTAATGATGTCTCATGACGTATCTGTTGTTTTAGATGTGGTTCGTGGCGTGCCTTTTGTTCTGCATCACATACCTGTTGTTCTGGATGTGGTTTTCCATCTGGAGGACGTGCTGAAGCCGCTCCAGGATCACCACCACCGTCTTCTGCACCGTGGCGTAGCAATCCTTGGGCGAGTTCTTCATCATCTCCATCAGGGCCTCGTACGCCGAGCTGCGCAGGTTGCTCTGCAGATGATGACAAGAGGACGGTCAGAGCAACTCACCGACTTCCATCAAACTCCTCCCCAGCTGTCGCCCTCCAGCCATACCGTACACTCATCAGTCACTCTTTTAGCAGTCTCGCTTCGCCCACCCCGTCATAAACCCCACCCTGCTCGGGGGCAGCGCTCACGGCTCACCTGGTTACCGTCGGCGCGGCCGGTCGTCTCGAGCAGACGTTCCACCAGCGCCTCGAAGTACTTGGAGAGCAAGTAGGTCTCCGGGTCGGTGGACTCGTCTTCTCCCTGGCTCTGCGCCGACTCGTAGGCCCGCTCCGAGAGTGCCGAGATGGCCCAGCACACGTTGGTGGCCACTCGCGGCTCGGCCTGCAGGCCGGCCACCAGGGTCTCCAGCAGCGGCGGCAGGTGCGCCTCGTTCAGAGTGGCGTCCGGTATCAGCTCACAGACGCGGCCGATCGTCCACGCCGCCGTGTCCTGGCAAAGACGATAGAGAACGGGAGGGAGGGTCATGGTAAGCCAAGGTGGATAAATGAACGGTGGTGGTACCTCAAAATGTTCTTATCAAAATTCAGTCGTGACACGTGCGATTTGGAAGTAATGGGCTGTTTTCTCAAGACTAAAACACTTGGCTTATCTTTTTGTATTCAAGCGTATAAGCAGCAGTTCAGTAGTCACAAAAGCTGCTGCAGTCGCCTTTCATCAAGATATGCTTAACTTAAGACGGGAGAAGCAAACGCCGAGAACCCAGCTACACTCCAATATTTGGGCAAGTTTACCTTGACGGCCACGACAGGGTCCTTCATGAGCTGCATCAGGATGGGCAGCACCTGTTCCACCAGCGGCTTCAGCTTGGTGCTGTCCGGACCCTCCAGTATCGAGCCTGCCGGACATAGGTCGCACGAGTACGTTATTGGTGTGGTTTACCGAGACCAGTAGCCAACAGAAGTCAACCGGCCGAGTAGCAAATAGAAAAGGAAAAATAATACTGCAACATTTTGTAAGAGCAGCACACTCACATAACCGAAAACAAGAAAGAATGCGTCCGATACAGCAAGTTCATTCATCCTAGCCAGGCCATCAATCCAGTCATAGTTGCAGTTTGCGATCAAACAAGAAGAATAATGACGATGGCTACCGTGAACGAATCAATTTTCTTTTCTAGTCATCCTTCCCGACGGCTACCATTTCCTGTTTTCCACCCGTCCCGCACCAAAGGCCATGAGCGCTGCGTCGCGGAATTTCCAGTCGGCCGATTTGATGTGCTGCGTCACAAACGGAAGGACGTGCGGCACGATGTCGTCCTCGACACAGGAGGCCAGCAGCATGAGCGACACGCCGGCCGCCTTGGACGGGTTCCAGTCCTCCTCGTCATCGCCGTCCTCCTGAGGACAGCCGCCCGTCAGTGAGGACACGATCGGGAGGATAAGGATGATAGCAAGAGGACAATGTTAAAAACAGCTGTTTGCAAAATCGGTACATGGGCGTGAGCAGCAGTCGATCAATGAGCATGGGCGCACTGAGTACTGAGTGCAGTGAGCTCAATGAGCTCGTACGGAGTACAGGCAACGTCATCCCTTTTTCAATCTTTTTGCACTTGGTACTAAGAAATTACAAGTCAACAATCTTCAAGACCACTTTAGTTACATCTGCAAGCACATTGTTTCATTGAATGTGCTATTCTCTGAGCAATAGCCACTTGTCAAAGGTATCAGCTAGATGACGCATTGAACAAACAAGTATGGCATTACTGTTCATGCCGTGTATCAGGCCTTATCGATTCTTCAACTGTACGATGTGACAATAGCGTCACAGAAATAAATAAGAGTGCGAGTTATCCACATGATAGACAATCGCAAAGGTAAATAGTCCCTAATCGAGTCACAGCGCATCCACCTATACCTCACGCCTCTCACCCAGCCGGTGAATCGCCCTGGGCCGGCGCTGCCGAGGCTGGCGACCGAATTGAGCACAAAGACCCGCCACGGCTTCGCAGCTTCCTGCCCTTTGCCTTTGAAACACTCGCTAAATACTAGTGATTCCAGCTAACCGGCCAGCGACAGCGACTATCCATTTACTGATAGCCACCCTACGTCCAGCTATTCATCTCCCATCCGCTCTACTACGAGATCCACTCTACTACGAGTTCCACCCTACCAGCGACTCCCGCCCATCTGCCGGCGCACCTGTTTGGTGAGCCGCTCCATCAGCACCGGGGTCAGGTACTGGAGCGCGCCCTTGGCGTAGAAGCGGCTCGTCTGTTCGGGCGGCCGTCCCAGGTCGGCGGCCTCCTGTGCCTCGATCTCCAGGTCGACCTCCTCGTCACAGACGGATGACCAGAACTCGATACCTTGCAGCGCTACCTCGTCCACGTCCGACTTCATCGCCTCCAGGGTGATCTGCGCCGAAAAACAGGGAACGGGGGAAGTCAGGTCTGGAGAGTTACAGACGAAATGGTGGAGTTAATTTGGGCTGATCGGACAAACAAGGCTGGAGGGGAGTTAGTGTGAGCTGACCGAAGAATCAAAACGGGGTGTATAAGTGTGAGCTAATCGGAGAGGCAGCGAGACGGGAGGAAACGGGTCAGCGATGATGGGCCAAAGCACCGAGACTCGACGCCGGAGTGGGCCCTCAACTAATGATGATGATCATAAATTGCAATATTAATTAGCATATGTCACAAACAATAACAATAAAATAATAACAATCAATGCAGTAACTTCACCAAACCACTGCTGATAACCTGCTGATAACCGTAACTTTACGTTTCCTGCGATAAAATGTTTGTATGCTAGGAATCCCGGAGCCCGATCCTCAATAAAATTAAAAGCTATCGGACTATCGGTATTGATAAACGCCTTAGCACTAGCCCAGTATCAGTGATATTAAGCGCCCTAATCCCACCATCCACAATGCAGTTTGATAAGCACTTAACTCTTATCAGTATCCACCACCCTTTCCCAAAGCATACACACCAGCATCCAACACTCATATTTTGACTCACCGTATCTCCCCGCGTGTGGTGTTGTGCCAAGTCAGTCCCACATCTTATCCTCTCAGCCCGCTCCCCCCCCCCCCCCCCCGCCCCCTCCACCGGTAGTGACGCTCACCGCAAACAGCGCCGGGCCCATGTAGGTCTCCATGTACTGATAGTAGTTGGTCATGATTTTGACTAGGCACTGGAGCGCGGCCACTCGAATCTGCGTATCGGAAGACTGAGTGGCTTCGCACGTCACCTCCATAATGTAGTGACGCTCCGCCTGGGGGCACACGTCAGCAACGTCAGCGCGAGACATAGCGAGTCGTCCTAAAATAGACTCAATAGAGTGAACGAACAGACAAATAGTTGAAGAGAAAATGAAACAAAGGCCATATTTCTCAGATTGTAAAGCTCAATACTTTGCAGCTCATTGAACAAGGATACAAAAACATTTTATCCAATTCATATTTACAGCGAATATACCACACATCACCACGATTGAATTTTCTCACGTACATCTTTCTCGAAGTTGGACTTTGTGAACTCGAGTGAGTTGAGCAGCGCGTTGGTGGCCGCCAGTCGGACGTGGCTGCTGGGCTCGTCGCGCTTCATGCCGTGGATGATGGCCGTCAGGATCTCGTTACTGCGAGAGGCCAGCACCTCGGCGTCGATATCCTGGGGACAGCGACAGTGGTATCGTGGTAAACGGCGGTAGCGACAGCAATACAACGTTTCCGAGCATAGATGCTTACATTAAATTCTAACTAGCACACACATAAAGATACGCACTCCTAGAAACGTCCGACGTTTGTCCACAAACCACTAATAAACCCTACACCAGGCCATCATAAACCCCCGCCAGCCGCTCACAACCCCCACCAGCCGCCCACAGCCCACCTGGCAGATGTATCCGATGGCCTCCAGCGACGCCTCCTTGATGATCTCGGTGGAGCCGGGCCCAATGACGTTGTTGACCAGCACCGACACCAGGTCGGTCCACTGGTTCTGCGGCAGCTCCACGATGGCGATGTAGGCCACGCACTGTGCCGCTGAGCTCGGACGGTTGTTCTCCGTGCCCAGCGCCGCCAGAATCTGAACAGGGGGTGGATGAGTGAGAACATTTATTCAAAAACAAAGCATGGAGCCTAATACAGCAGCAAAGGCACAATTATAATGGGCATGATTGCAAGCAGCATGTGCAACGTGTAGATGACGTTGCACACGCCGCCACAACGTTATCTACACGATGCGTCAGGACAATGCTGTACAACTTCAACTTTACTCACCGGGTGGGGGTGGGGGTGGGGATTGGGGTGCGGTGGGGGGCACTGTTTTATCTCTGTGTCATTTAGCATATCTTTACATCTTTTTTTGTGTGTAACTGCTGTTTTTATGTTCTTACTGTAAACTTGACACTTGACCCGAAAAGCCATGAAAATGCAGAGGTCATACGAAATAAATGATGATGATGATGAACGTAAACGCCCCACAAACACCTTTCCAAAAGGCACAAGAACGTGAGGGAAAAACAATCGGCCAATCTTTTTTCCGCCGTGTCTCCCCGATCCGCGCGCCCGTCGTTTGTTCTCCCCGCCTCCACCCGTCACGGTCCACCGAGCGCCGCTCACGTTTCGCTTGACGTGCTCCTTGACGTCAGGCGGGAAGTCGAGCCAGCGCTGCTGGTGCATGGCGCGCACGGTGGTGTCCTTGGAGGTGAGCGTGTTCTTGAGCTGCAGGCCGGCCGCCATCCGAGCCACCGGGCTGTTGGCGCCATGGTACAGGATGTCCGAGAGCGCCTTCACGTACTCGGGCTGTGGACAGAGTGCGGGCCGTGGCCCGGTGTCAGAGACATGGAGACATTACAGGAGCAGACGAGAAAATGAGAAACAATGCACAACAAATAACAGAAAACTGTCAATCACTGATTATGTGCAAATACACTGAGCATTAAAGCACTGTGTATTTGCTCCAGAAGAAGCAAATACTCCAGAAGTTCTGTGATTGCTTTATGCCAAATACAAAAAAAAATGCTTCCTTAATGCACACTCAATAGTAAAGTGTGCTTCACCACAAAGGCGACCATGGACCAGTCATCAAATAGCCACCATTTACACATGGCCATTGCTTACAAAGTTTTGTGATGCTGCTTGCTCCAAGAACTGCTGAGCTTGTTCCAGTTCTGCCTTATCTGAAAAAGAATGCCTAATTGTGTAAGGTGCTATAAAAATGACTATTCTAATTCTTATGGCTCTACTTTAAGCTAAGGAAATGTAAGGTAATTGACCATCATCTAATCACACCTGTCAAAATGTACATTTTCATCATTTCAGGTCAGCAATATAACACTTCTGAAATTAGGAGAACAGTATAGGAATAGTTGTAAGCTGAAATAATTAGAAAACATTCCCTAAATTGCAGTAATCTAGGAGCAGTGGATCAGTTGACAGTCATCCTGAATAATGAGCCATGGGCAAAACCAGCTTATAGTGAGATTGTCAATATCCTACAATTTGCAATGTTACAACCTTTGGAATCAAGAAGTGCAATTTCAGAGAGGGGTATCTAGAATGGAAGCACACCAATGGCAGGTTTCAAATCACAAAAATGCCCCAGGCTAGGAAGAAGGATGCAAAATAAGTTTTGCCAACTTAGTTTTACTGCAGCAAATATATTTCACAAATTATTTGGACTATCTAAAATGTATCTTTATTACTAATGCATAACTGTGAAGAACAAAAAAGCTTCATTCATTAGAAGACTTTGAATTAAGACAGCAAGGGAATGGTATATGCATTTTTTAGCAAAATTAAAAATGATTTTATTTTTAAACTTCTTAATTTAAGAGTAGGTTGTCTTTCCAGAAACACAAACTAACCTCACACGTGAATTTTCAAGCAGTACTTCGTGGCAACAAATGTTGTCAAATAAATAGGTAGGTAACAAACCAAATTTCTTCAATAAAAATTAGCTTAAGTAATATTCAATGATTTAATCCTGTGCACCATCCCCATCTGACATTGATGCATCTGCAAAATCATTTCCTTTCCACCAGAGTAAACTTGTAGAGTGTGTCAAATTGTTAAATTCAGTAATCGTTGAAATGTTAACAGGAAAAAGCAGTTCATCCAGGACACCATAGGCATAAATATTCAGAGATTATGCAAAGTTAAAAAACAACAGGTAAAAATAAAACAAGTATGAAGTAAGGACCTATGTCAGGCCCAGCAACAATAGACCCGTTTACATAGCATTTTTGACGATGCTCTAGCTCGTTTATTTGGCAATAATTTTGATGCAGTGGTTTTCAAATATTTAGAGGGGATCATTTTGTAAATTGTTAAGCACCATTGGCATCTTTTGCAACATCAAGGACGGAGATATAAGCTTGCAATAAACCCTATGTAAAAGCGTCTAATCTGAATCACGTTATCAAGAGGAGACTGATGATATTGACATCAACACAATTATGTTATCACATCAAACAAAATAGCATGATAAGAATTCAGTCAAACATGAAATAGAACAAAACTTTTACTTACCAGGCGAAACTGTCTTCTCTAGGATTTGAATAAGCTGTCCAGCTGATTCGGATATCATCTTTTCAATATTAATATAAGCCTAAAACACAATAATGACCTAACTACACGACTAGGGGTTGCTGGTGGGCGAAATATCGAAGTGGAATGTCTCCGTTCCAATCTCACGTAGCTGATGCTTGGTACTTATGGTAAATTATACAACATATATTGGATTACGGGAACACCCGCGCGGCACACGCTTCACCAACGGACAACGCAAAGACGGCACGCATGCCGTTTGTTGCCATTGGTTGCCATACCGCCGGTAATGTCACTGCGCCGCTCCCAATTTCTGTTCGAAATTACAAGCAGGCCGCTGAATCTTATTATTTACACCAATCAATGCTGCTAGATTTTAAACCTCGTCTGTCAATTGGGCGTACATAAAAATATCTGCTTACGTAAGCTCAAAAATACTTTGGTGAACACTTTTTTTGTCTTATGCGCAGTAGTTGTCTGCATTGAAAAGCGCCATCAGCGAAAATATTTCACAGACACAATTTAGTGGCATGCTCCCTTTGGCATATGATGAACGCAGATTGCTCATCTTTACCGTGGGGGCGTCGTTCAAGGAGTGTTTTATCACCGTTTTATATCCCTTGGTTCAAAGCAGTTGGTATAAAGGGACCGCAAATAAACTGATCAGTCAGTGAACTGATGTGTTATTTAGAAAAGCGCATAGAAGGCTACAAAAGGCATTTCTTTCAGATCCGTCGGTGATTATCAGACTATACCGAATGTCGCGCAGACGCGAGACGCTGCGCCAGACGGGCGCTGGTGGTTTCTGGAGTCATAAATCCTACCCAACCTAAAAAATGACACTTAGCCCGTCCCGTCTCCCCTGCCTCCTCCCGCCCGACGAAAACAACCCAAACAATACAATCATGTATTTAGTCACAAATTATGAACACAACTACAACGGCCGTCCGCTGTCGTCATTATACGCTGTGAGCAGCCTGCTCCGCGTCCGCACGGACTCACTCCACTCCACCGCCCGTTGCCGCCACTCTACCGCTGGGGTTACCGCAGCGGCTGTGGCAGTGCCGGGTTCTAGTCGAGACGGCCAGGCAGACCCGACATCCCCACTGTGGCAACACTCCCGTTCACCGACCCTCTCCGGCCGCAACCAGAGCCATTAGTCGATGTTTGGTATTTTAGTAAGTCAGCGCCGCGCCGCAGTGTCGCCGTTACAGGTTACGCGTCGGTTCAGAACCAACCAACTCAGGCTCTATGCACAATGAGATGTTGTCGAATGTTCTTTGATTCGGCAGCCAAGAGCTGCTGCAAGGTGCTCCAGGAGAGCTAATCATCCCCACGTGATCGATGGAAGCTATGCAAGGCGAAAGATCACACAAAACAAACGACGCTCTAGAGAAGCAATGTCCGCGCCTCGACGCACCGCTAACTCAGATCAACTTTTTATAATGCATTTAGAAGTGCATATTGCTCTTCTAAACGAACACACAGCACTAATCAATATTCAAGATTTGTGTCTTATCCACATGAAGTTCTGACATAAACTAAAGCCTAGCGTTCGGTTTAAATAAGGCCTGGCAGAAACCCCTCAGGCTGGCACTGCAAACAGTCTGTTGGGTCGGAGCGCGTCTGCCGTCCGTCCGTCGGTCGGTCGGCGCCGCTCACGAGTAGATGAGGCGGTCGGCGGTGAAGCGGTCGTTCAGCGTCCGACTGCTGGTCGCTGCTGTCGGTCGGAAGTTGCTCACACCGGCACTTTGCCGGCCCTCGGCCGACGCCTGGTGCTGTGAGCGGCCCCGCGCCTGGATGGCGGCAATCTCCTGCTGTATGCGCGGGTCCAGGCCGCCGCGAGTCCGGGACGGCGGCGGCGGCGGCGGGGGCAGCGGCGGCGGAGTCGGCGGCAGCATGTCGTCCATGTCCTCGTCGTCGTCCATCACCGGCGCTGTGAGCGTGGGAAGCAGGTCAGCGACTTGAGGATAGGGGGGGGGGGGATACTTCCAGCACCTGGCATGGAAATGTGGCACAGTATAAAAACATCCGGATCCTAAGTACACACTGGCCTTGTAGATACGTCACAGAGTCAGAAAGAAACGACAAAATTACAAACTACCTATATCATTTATTACTCCTAAGTCTTCCTCCGAATCCCAATGCGACATCCAACACTACTTTCCCAAGTTCCAACGCGTGTCGCGGCTACCCACCTGTGCGCATCGGTCGGACGGCGATGTCGTTTTTGAACTGGACGGTGAGTAGACTGGAGCCGGCTGGGGCAGTCACAGAGCTGCCCGTCAGCCGGGTGCGGTTCAGCGGGCGCCGCAGTCGCGCCGGGGTCGCCGCCGGCACCCCGTCGTGGTACACCTGGATCCGGCCTCCCTGCTGTGGCGGCGCCGGCCGGCGGGCGGCGGCCCCGCGGGCCCCTAACCGCGCGGTAACACCGCGAGCGCCACCCCGTGTGGCAGCGCCCCGACCGCGCCGAGCCGTGGCCGCCGAGACAGTCTGGTGGACAGGGGTGACGGGTTATGGACGGCTACTCGAAAACCAGAGCAGCGTGAGATAAAAGCAAATCAATTACATCAACTGAATGAGAGCAAACTGAGCTACGTACATCAATGTAGCAAAAATAAGCACCCAAAGTTCGTATTTATCGAATAAGTTTAACAAACCAGGAAATGCTGGCCAATCAGCGATTATTTTCTCTGATGCTGTTCCTGTCCTTTGCTATCAAAACATACTGAACCGAACTGAACTGAACTTTATTTTGCCAGGATGTCGGATACCACGGTAAGTCTACGCACCGTCAGGCCGCGTCGCTTCATGATGATCTGATCCCTGGCGTCGATGCGACTCAGCTGTCTACTGCTGGTGGTCAGCTGCTGCAGCGCCTGCCGCTTCTTCTTCAGCGCTAGCGTCGTCAGCCGCTGTTGAACACAACAGTTAATGGTTGCCCAGGAGAGGCGCGACGGAAAACAAACGGGGTACACGGCCAGCGAAATCGAGAGTTATGTCAATTATTATTGAGCTAGCGAATTATCATTTTTCCTTAGCATGCTGATTGCAAGCGGTGTGGGAAGAAGCCAAATCAGCATTAATTCATGACAGTCAAGGCTGAGCGTGTTGTACCTTAGCGCCCTTAGCAGGAGTGCCCAGCCTTCCGGCGAGCTTGGAGCCTCGCACAGCTTTCACAGCCAGCTGAGAACGAATCGTACCACGGTCAGACACATAGGACGTGTTGAACAATGTTCGTCAGTCCAGGCTAAAGGTGGATGAAACTGTAGCAGCTGGCATTTTGCTCACATTGTTAATGATTTAACCGACAGCATGGATTAAGTGTTCCTGTATAGGACACTCCGCCGATTTTCCGACCACCCAATATCACGGCAGATAGGGCACCGGCGCCATTTTAGTATTGCGTCCTACGGGCGAAAACATGCAAAAAGTTAACATTTACATATTTATTCATCAAAAAGGACTTATGTGATTGCTGAGGAGCAATGGTATTTGGCGACAATTTGCACTGACAAGTCAGGAATGTCGGCCCACTTTATGGGCTCCTAATAATGGTGCCGTGTGTGCTAGTGACTAAATGGACCCTTACCAACTATGAGAAAGGACTAGAAATATGTTGAAAGTGTCTAAAATCGTGTCTTCCGAGCTAAAGCTCGCTAATTTTGCCCTGTGCTACCGCGTCTACAGCATGGACCCAAACGGCGGCGGCCGCCGGTGCACTATCTACCGATGTTTCGGCGCTCCGCCACCAGGAAGGCCGCTTGGTCGCCGGCGCTAGTGTTGGGGAATAGGGAGTGTCCTATCCAGGAATACTTCATCCATGCCGACAGCTTGTTTAATAAGTTATCCATAAGTGAGACAGTATGTTATAGCGATTAGAAGGCGCAAGGAAGGTGTTCTCATTTACAAAGACTAGCCTACCTCCAAAGACACAGCGGATGGAATAACATGGGTTGTCACCGTTAGCCGTTAAAAAATATGAAACTTAATGCCGCAAATGCACTTTCGAAATCAATGTTTATTTTGGTACAGGCTTGATCCACTTCGCTCCTTGATCGAAATGAAAAACACCGTTCCAAAAGTCGCACATTGCGGCTAACGAGAGAAAATAAACTAAGAAATAAGTTGAAACATAAAGATAAACCTTTCTTGAATGTCACTTTGACACTTGTTAATCAGTGAATGCATCGTCCTTGGCTTTGCATATTTACTTTCACTGTTTCAGAATGAGCTATAATAATGACCCCGTTTCAATCAGTTTCTCATCAAAAAAAAAAACCCCTTTTCCTTAATTTTCTAAGCACAAAAATATGACAACAATTTCGTTGCTAGGCAACAAACGCACAGTACCCCCCGGTCGCGACATCCTCCCCCACCAGTGTTCACAAGGGGGAACACGAAACATGTCACTCGCGATACAGGCCACACGTTCCTGACACCCCTCGGTGTCTTTCACTCTGCACTTAACGACCACACCGTGTCAGCTCTGAGCACTAACGGCCCATGCCGATTCTGTCACGGCTCGCGTTGACCTTACGCAGGTCACAAATGTGGGTGCTAGCCACGCGGATCATTATCAATGTCTTCGAACACAGAACGTACCCCATCCATCAAGATCAACATTACTTTCACGGTTCGTCTCACATGAGCATCACATATTGGGCCAGTTGGCCGTGCACCCCGTCGCACGGATTCTCCGATGATTCCGATTTAGAGGCTTAGTTGAGACTCTCCAAGAGACACAACTTCGTTGTCGGGCGAACATACGTCCCACTCTTTGTCTTCACTTCCGCTGATCTGACTCCTCCGTCAGAGCCTGGGTAGACTCTTGTGATGCGTCCCAATTCCCAGTATCCTCTAGGACTCTGACTGTTGACGACCAAAACTACGTCGTCTATCTGCAGATTCTTCTTCTCTGTCTTCCATTTCTGTCTGTTTATCAGCGTAGGAAGGTACTCCTTGAGCCACCTTTTCCACAGATGTTCAGCGAGGATCTGTACTTGTTGCCATCTCCTCCGTCCAACAACATCAGCATCAGCATCATTGAATACCCCTGGCGGTAGTCCTTCTCTTCCATCAGATGAGCCCAACAAGAAGTGGTTGGGCGTAAGAGGTTCGGGGTCTTGAGGATCACTGCTAATGTAGGTCAGAGGACGGCCGTTGATCATGAATTCGACCTCCGCTAGGGTCGTCTGAAGAACGTCCTCCGAGACGCATTTGTTTCCTAGAACCACTTTGAGGGAGCGCTTCACCGAGGCGATCAGACGCTCCCATGCACCGCCCATATGCGGGGCGGCTGGCGGGATGAACACCCACTGGATGTTTCTCTGACTCAAAGCATCGGATATCTGTGCCTGATTCCAATGTTCGATGGCTTCTCGCAGTTCTCTTTCGCCTCCGACTAGATTAGTGCCATTGTCCGAGTAGATAGTTCGAGGTCTACCTCTTCGTGCGATAAAGCGGCGCAGTGCCATGATGAAGCTACTGGTGTCCATCAAAGCAGCTAGCTCCAAATGGATGGCCCGAGTGGCGAGACATGTGATCAGCAGCACATATCTCTTTTCTGTCTTTCGAAACTTCTTCACCGTCAGAGGTCCGAAAAAGTCGAGTCCGACTGTGCTGAACGGACGTCTCATGTCTAGACGGGCCTCTGGCAAGTCTGCCATCCTGGGTGGCTGAGGCGAGGCGCGGCGGTTACGGCAGAATGCACACTTCCACAGGTGCTTCTTCACAGCTGACCGCATCCGTTGCACCCAGTACTTCGATCTCAGCTCACAAAGTGTTCTTTCCAATCCCCAATGCATGACTCGCTGATGTGCATCGACAATGACCAGTCTGGTGATCTCACTCTTGGCGTCAAGAATGACGGGGTGTTTCGTGTACTCGTCTAACGAAGTCTTGCTCAGGCGCCCACCAACTCTCATGAGGCCGTGTTGATCTCGGAATGGAGACAGGTGGTCGAGACTAGCTTGTTTCATGCAGGTTTCTTGATCGTCCTTTATTATGTTGATTTCAGCCGCATCAATTTCTGCGCTGCGTAGTGGACCATCAATGACTTCTGTGCCAGCAACCTTGCTCTTCACGTTGCTGATGAATCGCCTTATCCATGCGACAATGCGTCTGTAACGAGTCCATGAAGAGAACCGCGCCGGGTCTATGAGCTGGGACAGTAGAGAAGTGATCTCTTCTTTTGGTGAACTAGCATGACTTGTCGCACAGATGGCTGCTGACCTCTTGACTTCTACACAGTCTGGACTGATGTCTCCTACGTCTTCTTGTGGTGGCCAGTGCTCTTCTTTGCTTTCTAGAAACGCTGGGCCTAGCCACCACTCTTGCTGGTTTTTCAACTCTGACAGAGACTTTCCTCTTGAGCAGAGATCTGCCGGATTTTCTGAGCCTGGCACGAAGCGCCACTGATCTGGGCTTGTCGTGTCGTGAATCTCAGATACACGATTCGCCACAAATGTGTGGTATCGCCGACTTTCGTTCTTCAAAAAACTGCAGCACCACTTGACTGTCTGTCCAGAAGACGATTCGCTTGAAGTTGTAGTTCATTTCCCTTTTGATAAGACTGGCTACTCTTGTTGACATGACGGCACCTTGCAGCTCAAGTCGGACTATCGACAGCTGTCGCAGAGGTGCGAGCCTAGTGCGAGCCATCACAAAGCGACTGTGATAGTAGCCGCTGGACAATATTCTGATGTATGCTACGGTACCGAACGCTAATTCGGAGGCGTCGCTGAACATGTGCAGCTCGTACTGAGCGTCAACTTCTTGTTCCGGCGCGCCATACCACCGTGGAACACATGCGTCCTCAACATGCTGAAGCTCTTCTTGCCAGCGTCTCCAGATATGTAGGGTTTCTCCTGTGATTCCTTCATCCCAGCCTAGCTTTCTTTCCCAGAGACTCTGGATCAGTTTCTTCGCCACTAGTGTGTAGGGCGCCACGATCCCTAAAGGATCAAACATAGACGCGACTTGCTTCAGGATTCCTCTCTTCGTCGGCGGCACCGCGACTACGCTACACTTGACGGCCAGGTAGTCGTCCTGCGGGGTCCATTTGCATCCTAAAACGCTGCAGTACGACTTGCCCGACGAGTCTATCTTCAAGACAGCTCTTTCATCAACCGGGACTTCAGCCAGCACCCTCTCCTCATTGCTCATCCACTTCGTGAGGCAAAACCCTCCTTTGGCGAGGATGCTGGAGACTTCTCTTTTCATATTGAGTGCAGCTTCACTGGAACATTCTGACTTGACGAAGTCATCCATGTAAAAGCTGGTCTGAACCGCTTTCTTGGCTGCTGTGGACTCTTCTGTGCCAGTGCAGCCGTCTTCTGCCGCTCTCTGTAGTACAAAATTTGCGATCGCTGGGCTGCACTTCGCGCCAAATATTGCTACTTGCATTTGGTACATATCAGGCTGTCGTGTGGTGTCAAGGTTTCGCCACCAGAAACTTAATGCTGGCTGGTCTTCCTGGCGAATCCTGATCTGGTGGAACATCTTCTTGATGTCTGCTACCATGGCAGTCTGTTCCTCTCTGAAGCGGAGCAAAATTCCAACCAGATTCTGCAGCATGTCCGGTCCCTTCATCAGCTCACTGTTCAGGGACACTCCCAGGTGTGTCGCTGCAGCATCAAAGACTACCCTCAGCTTGGGTTTATTGGGGTTTACTACCGCGTGATGTGGTAGAAGCCAGCGCTTTTTCAAACGCTGATCGGCTTCTTCTTGAGACAGCTTGCGTGCGTGCCCCGCTTCAACATAAGCTTGGAGCTCGGCTTCATACGCCTTAGCCTTTTCCGGGTTACGTAACAAGCCTTTCTCAAGGCTCTGAAGTCTTCTCATGGCTGATGCTCTGTTGTCAGGCATTCTCTGATCTTTGCCTTTCCAAAGAAGTCCTGCTTCGTATCGGTCTCCGCATTTCTTCACTGATGTATCTAGGAGACGCAATGCCCGCAGGTCTTCTGCTGAAGCTTCCCCTTTGAGCTCAACTTTCGTGCCAAATGAATCAGTCTTCCACCACTCTTCGACACACTCTCCGAGATGCCTGTCTTCTGTGTCCGCACGGTGGATGAACATCACCTCTCTGGTTTGAGGTGGGACGAAACCAGCGATCGTGCCGGTCAACGTCCAGCCAAATGCCGTGCGCACCGCCACCGGTTCTCCTGCTCGTCCAACTTTGGCTTCGCGTTGAAGAACGGCTTCAAGGACATTAGCGCCTAGAAGCACCTCCACTGTTCCCTGTGAGCAGTCAGGTATGTTTATGCCTTGTAGATGCTTCCAGTCATCTTTCAATCGTTTAGGAATGTGCTGTGCTCGGACGTTTACTCGCGGCACAGAGAACGCTTCAGGAACAAGGATCTTGCGGTCAACATCTTGACCTTCGCACAAAGGACTCAGAGTCAGCTGGACCCTTTCAGACCTCTTGGTACTTCCTCGTCCTTCAACATTTTCGATGCATAGCGACTGCGCTTCGCCTGAAATCTTCACATCTCTGATGATTGCTTCCGAGCATAAGCTGGTCTGAGATCCTGGATCTAGCAGGGCCAGCGTGTCTCTAAATCTTCCATCTTGGCCGTGCACTCGAACGGGAACTATCTGGAGAAGCGTCATTCCCTCTGCTGGTCGGTTTCCCGTTACTGCGGCTATGACTCTCTGGTCACCACCGTGAGGCCTTACACGGTGACTGCCGTGCAGCATCTTGTGGTGTTTCATCCTGCACCCGTCTATTCCACACTTCTTAGAAAAGACACAATTTCTGCTCATGTGGCCTTTCTTTAAGCAGATGAAGCACATTCCTGAGCTGAACACTAGCTCAGCTCGGCCATTGGCGTCTCGCGCTCTGAATGCTTCGCAGTCCTTCAAATGATGCTTCCCGCTGCAACACACACAAGTGTCAGAATCGAGTGAGGCTGTAGTGTTTGTAGCCAGTGTCGCCAGTGTCTTTTCTTTTGTCTTTTGATGTTGTGCTCCAGTTGCTGGTCTGGACTGCCAGGCGCGTTTTTTGACTTGATCAGTGTCTTGAATTGTCACGGCAGTGAGCTTCTGAGAGATCCTCACTTGTTTTGTGAGCCACTGGTCGAAGTTGATCAATGTAGCTCGGGCCGGCTCCATTTCAACGACGTGTGCGCTCCAAACGCGCTTCATTTCTTGCGGCAACTTCTCCACTATTCTACGCAGGTTTTCTGTGCTTTGAAGGTCTCCTTCGTACTTCAGGTTCTGAAGAACTGTTACGGCAGAGTGAACAGCTGAGTGAAACCGTTCCAATCCTTGCAGATCTAGATCTGCTGGCGACGGGCATGCAAAGATAGCCTTCATTTTCGCCTGCACAATGCCCTCTTGTCTGCCAAAGCGGTTTTCTAGCGCGTGCAGCGCTTCTTCATAGAGAGTCCCTTCGTAGAGCATCCCACTGATCAGCTGCTGCGCCGGACCCGTTACTGCGTTTTGTAGATGCGCCATTTTTTCAGTGGAGTTTAAGGTTGCTTGATCGTGCACCAATGTTCGGAAGAGCGCGAACCATCTTGGCCACTCTCCCGGACTACCACTGAAGTTTGGCAGCGTGATTCTTGGGAGACTTCTTGCGAACAGAGATTCAGATTGCGTTGGCACAGGACGGGCGCTGGGCGGCAGAATAGGCACATGCACTTCAGGGCTGTCATCTTCAGACTCCTTTTCAGCTGGGGAATCGCCTTCGGTTTGAGCTCCTTGCTCTTCAACTGCGGATGCCTCACCATCAAAATCCTTTCTGCGGTCCCAGCTGAGCTCACTCTCAGCAGCTGCGGTAAGGCGCGCTTCTAGCCTGGCTAACTCTTCGGCATCTTTAGCGGCTTGAAGCTCATTTTTTCTTCGCAACTCTTGTTCTTCCCTTTCTCTCAGGTGTCGCCGCTCCAGAAGCTTACGTTCCTTTTCTTTCACTTGAAAAGCAATGTCAGCGCTTCGAGCAGCTAACGAGCTGCTGGACTGGTGAGACTGAATTGAGCCCGACACTATAGATGGTGTTTCACCTTGTCTGGATTTCAAATATTCTCGTATGCATTGATATGCTTCGTCGTGTTGCTGCTCTGCAACCTTCATGTAATCGACCGCTTCTTGAACAAGTGCTTCATCTTCTGCTATTGCTTCTTTGAGCTCTTCGTTCACTTCTTCTAAAGACTCAAGTGCAGCGTCCAGCTCCTTAAGCATGTCGACCAGCTGCGTCCTAGAGCCTCTATTTTCAGTCATTACTAGGGCTCGTCTTCTTACTCTGGTGAGATTTGACAGCATCCTCCCACGCTTCCTTTTGAAATCAGATGCTGACATGATTGGTGCAAATAAATCAGTGTATCTTAATCAAAGTTGATAACTTGAATTCAGACGCTACATTGGTTTGCATCATGCTACTTTATATCTGAGCAGCTTCTCTTAAACTTATGCTGTGCAGTTCATCTTAGAGTTTGCAAACATTTTGGAACTGTCACCGTTAGCCGTTAAAAAATATGAAACTTAATGCCGCAAATGCACTTTCGAAATCAATGTTTATTTTGGTACAGGCTTGATCCACTTCGCTCCTTGATCGAAATGAAAAACACCGTTCCAAAAGTCGCACATTGCGGCTAACGAGAGAAAATAAACTAAGAAATAAGTTGAAACATAAAGATAAACCTTTCTTGAATGTCACTTTGACACTTGTTAATCAGTGAATGCATCGTCCTTGGCTTTGCATATTTACTTTCACTGTTTCAGAATGAGCTATAATAATGACCCCGTTTCAATCAGTTTCTCATCAAAAAAAAAACCCCTTTTCCTTAATTTTCTAAGCACAAAAATATGACAACAATTTCGTTGCTAGGCAACAAACGCACAGTACCCCCCGGTCGCGACATGGGTGATAAGCGAACGTAGACGCATTATTTTCGGGTATCGTGAGTAAGCATTTCCGTGCTAAGGTAGACAAGACATCAGCCAAACTACATTATATCCAACCACCCGTGCTATATAAAACTCATTCCATTAGTGAGGGGACGCATCACCTGTAGGGCATCAAAAGTGGTCCGGATTAGGTTACGGTGCACGCGCGGAAGTGTGGCCGGTATTTTCAAGGGAAGGCCCAGTCCGTCGTGCGCTGCAGTCTTCGGAAGCTGAGGAGAGTAACACTGGGTTTGGAGCATAGTCATCAAAAGGGAGACACCCGGCATCGTGCAGCTACACATTAACAGCACCCATCACACAGGGTTACATATCAGAGCCCCGAACAAAATTCAAGCGGTTATTCTCTCACAAGTGTGAGAAATGCAGACTACAGAGCAACCAGAAGAGAAGAGGTAAGCATGCTGACTTGGGGAATGTGAATGACTTTGGGACACACATGGGAGACACAACGTGCATATTCTAGTGAAAGAAGGGTGCCGGTGTGCCATATCACTCAAAAGAAAAAAAATCCGATACCGATCCTAGCATCAACCACTATTGTTACCCCTACCGCATTTCACCGAAACTCAAACATGGCAACGTAATGACAGCTCTGGCCGGCCGGCGCGGCCGAACCTGAGCTCTAACCTGTTTGCGTTTGAGCGGTGAGGCGGTTGGTTTGGCCGACTCCAGATGACTGCCCATGCGCGCGCTGGCCGCCCGCCACTTCTGGCCGAAGGAGGCACGGCTGGTGGAGCGCGCGGCGCCGCGCTGACCGCGGCCGGCGCCGCGGCCGCGCCCCCGCCCGCGCTGCGTGCTCGCCGCCCGGCCGTCCCGCGACGCCTCGCGCCAGCTGCCGCGGCCGCCGCGAGTCGAGCCGCGCGAGGCGCCGCGCGATGTCGAGCGGCCGCGGGAGGCGCCCCGGCCGCGGCTCTGACCCCGACCGCGGCCCCGGCCACCTGCAGAAGAAGGCAGACAGATGTTGGTGACGGGTGGACACGATGGCAGCTAACAATCCATTGGTCAGCTACTGGTCTCACGGGTTAGGTTATTTTTCTTTGCCATTTTTCTCTTCAAAGGAAACCTGACGAACGTATCAAACTATTTAGTGGCATTATATGCTCGAGGTAGGGCAGGACCAGTCAGAGACATTACGCATTTTTTTTTCGACCGATCATAAGAAATCCCGTAGTCCGTCGGGAAGCAAAGCTTGCTAAGTCTCATGTTTTACTATATTTTTATTGAATCTTATGCTCATGGCTCTGTCAGTCTGTGTTGTGTTATATACTCGTAAACACATTCCCGAATAACGAATGGCCATCGGAAGTAATGACCACACCACAACACTTGTCGATGTGTTACGCATCAATGATACGCCGGTGCCACAAAATCCACGTGTGTCTGCTCGATGGAGCGTAGAGTTCGAAGTACGAAGGTCTGCTTTCTAGTCGTTATTCATAAACAGACGGTGTGGCACAAACCGGTGCTAGTGTAGCATATTAAACTGGTTCGGGAAGCCGGCGTCAGTCCGACTGGGCTGCGTGCGTGGCACTGGGGCGTGTCACAGCTGCCGATCTGTAACTAGTCCCTTGATGTATTGGGGAGCAATGCAGTGCATGCCCGATAGGTATATCGAATAAGTCAGTAAGGTATCTTTTTGAGCTGACAATATTGCAAACATCACAAAATTAGCATGTGCTATAATCAGGGATGCGGAGCCGTGGAAATTTCAGACGGCTCCGGCTCCGGCTCCGGAGAAAAAATCGGCTCCGGCTCCGGCTCCGGCTCAGAGTAAAATGGTCCGGTTCCGGCGGCTCCGGCTCCAATACTCAGTACATCCCCTATGCAGTATGCAATTAAATACGGGTGGAAGAAAAAAGACGATGGGATTGGTGCACGTTAATTCTGTATTTGCATAACAAAAATTTTCATAATTTGAATATCACATGTTTTAGTGCCTAGTCAAACCGAACTAGGTCAATAATTTTTTCCTTAAAAAAAAGAGCCGGAGTCGCCCCCTTCTTTGACGGCTCCGGCTTCGGGCTATAACTATTGTTTCACGGCTCCGGTTCCGGCTCCGGGCAAAATATGCCGGCTCCAGCTCCGGCTTCGGCTCCGCACCCAAGGCTAAATTATTGTAGCCAGTAGACAGAGATATAATAGAGGGATTGGATTTGCACAGCGTCTGGGTAGATTGCTATCAGTCCGAAGTGGAGCAGCTAACCTGTTTCGGCAGCGGTCCTCACCCACGTGCTCACTTTTTCCTTGAGATGACCTCATTAGTAAAATTGAAAGTGGAATCGAATCACCGTGTAAATGAAACACCTTGCTACACAGTCTGCGTGATGTTTGAGATCTAAGAAGAATATTAGACATAATAGCACTATTAGGTAACTGTATTCGCGAGAAACATATCTCTGGAACCTTTTATTAGAATTGCAGTACACGTACAGAGGGACAAGCAGAGGGGAATGGCGGGATGGTAACATACCTCTGGTCGAAGTTGATCCACGTCCGGCTCCGCCACCGCCGCGGCCGCGCCGAAACATCCCGCGGTTCGCCTTGATGAAGTCATCTGGAAATAAACCAGACAAAGCGGTTAGCCTAGAGCGGTTCGCCACTCGCTGCAAACAAGTATGCGCTTGACAATGGAATATCCCCACCATTGATATAAAACATCGCTGACTGTGCAGCACAATCAGAGTGCGAGAAAAAACGTCACGGACGGGAAACAATTTCGTTTTCCGAGGACGGCAAACGAGTTTTGCTAGTTTCCACAACCAAATGTCGTATTTTCGTTTAGCAGACATTGTGTGAAAGTGCCATAACTTAATTAAGTCATCACCAAGGTTCTTGGATGATGCCTCATAACGATTTGAGAGCTCTGGTGGCCCGAGCGCAGTTTGATGATAATTGTTCAAACATGCTGCCAGCTTAATCGACTGCGGGGTAGTTTACCGCAAAATGGGTTTACCGCACTTGGTGAGATTGGGCCCTGACAGGTGGCTAATAGCAAGATCTGGCAAAAACAAAACAGGCAAGCAAATATGAAATTGATCGGACACGAGCGTGGGGGTCGGTGGTGAGCCCGGCCGGCCAGCGTGAGCCGTGAAGGGGTGCCATGTACGAGCCATATGAGGTGCCCTGGCAATTGACTGCAGTGACTGAGTACTCCAGCATACCTATGTTGCAACTTGCAATTAATGCAGATTGTAAATTTGTCATGCTAGAACACAAAGAATGCATACCACAGTAGACATGTGCAGTCTGCAAACAGCAAGCTATATGACTGAAATTCTGCATTCAAGAAAATATTGATTATTTTCAGAGCATAATGACTAATGAGTAATGACATCATCTAGTTATTGCCCAAAACCATGGCATAGCACTATTGGCCCAAAGATGACCCTTGCAAAAACTGTACACAAGAAACCTTGGCACTTCAGACTTCAGAGTATCATTTATATTTTATAGAATACTTTTTGTTTTTATAGAACAATTAAAAGCATCACAAATCACAATCAGGGGATTACACCAAAAACCCTCCCTGGAATGCATGCATAAGCCCTTTGAGACAGACAGACAGATAGAAAGACAGAGACAGAGACAAAGACAGGGATAAGGAAAGGGAGAGAGAGGAGAGAAGGAGAGAGAGAAGGAGAGAGAGAATGAGAGAGAATGAGAGAGAGAATGAGAGTGAGGATGAGAGAGAGAGAGAGAGAGAGAGAGAGAGAGAGAGAGAGAGAGAGAGAGAGAGAGAGAGAGAGAGAGAGAGAGAGAGAGAGAGAGAGAGAGTGAGAGTGAGTGGGAGTAACAGTAAGAGTAAGCATGGGTGTAAGAGAAGACAGTGAGGTGAGGAGAAAGAGAGAGAGAGAGAAAGAGAGAGAAAGAAAGGGAGAGAGAGAGAGAGAGAGAGAGAGAGAGAGAGAGAGAGAGAGAGAGAGAGAGAGAGAGAGAGAGAGAGAGAGAGAGGAGAGAGAGGAGAGAGAGAGAGGGGGAGGAGAGAGAGGGGGAAGAGAGGGAGGGAGAGATTTTGTCAAGCATTCAATAACCAAACATACCTAGACTTCTATCAACATATCCATCAGTCTTCATGGTGACCTGAAACACACAACATGATGAGTTAAACAACTTGTTATACAACACAAGACAGAATGTCACAACTGCACTTCACTGCCTGGGTACCATATTGATATTTGGGCCAGCACACAACAATCTGCACAACCCAGAAACACTGCACTGGATGCTGGGCTGCTGGTGCAATTCTAACAGTCAGGACACCAGCAGATGGTTACTGGCAGATATGATAAGGGGAGCATGAGATAGGCTCATAAGGAATGCTCACTCAATCTGGCATCCCTTCCACTTTCTAGCATCAATTGTATGTATAGTCGACTACAGAATGATGATCGACTTTTCACAGGCAATTCAAATTATTTGCCTGGCGTGGTAGGCTGTGCCGCATCACATGGGCTGAGTTCACAAATTATAGCTTTTTCCCAATGCTCACAGTCGACACCCTTAATTGCCATTGCATGATAAACCGCACATGTTAGCGCTCCGGTCAACTGATAGCTTCTGAGGAGTGGAACATCATTCTGTAGTCGACTATACAATAGGACCTTCCCATGCTCTTATCTCACTGCACTTGACTTGAAGAAAGAGAGCACGTGTGAGAGCCAGATGAAGCTATTGTCCTAAGAACAAGCATTCAATAAATAGCCCTGATCACTTCAATATTCAGAGCTTTGCGTAGTAAAATCAAAATCAAAATATTCAATGTTTAGAGGTTGCACTAGATTTGATAACTGATGACACCTAATTTTATTTGTTAAGTCCTTGAAATAACCTCACCTTGCTTACTAAGGCCAGAAGACCAAGGAAGAAGCAAAGACCAGCACAAACAGCAGTTCAAATTGCTAACCTAACCAAAAATTAAAATATCAATTGGTGGAACCTGTAGCTTGATTGCACTGAAATTGAAATCTAAGGATGAAGCGGGGGAGACAGGATCCAGCTCTCTGCACGGGTATTTATTAGGGGTATATTACAAGAAATAACAGCAATGACTGTTTCAGACATTCATTCCAATAATGTGCAGAATTTCTAATAAGTAGCTGTAAACCGTCTCACCAAATCCGGACACGCCTAGCTGGACTTTTTGATGACGTCTTCGGGTGACGTCATGTCGTGTGTGACGTTTCGTGAGCAGGTCAGTCCCACGCACAAGGGGGAAAAGCTCAAATTATTGAGTGCTCAAAATATTGAGCGTGTGACGTCAGAGGCTCCCATAGGCGTAATGCTGAGGGCTCAAAAAATTGAGCCGTTTCAGGAACACGTTTTGCAAAAGCAACTCGCAACACCTAGGGAGAAATGGCAACACCCTAGGAGAATCACTAATGATGCAAAACAGATTAGGCTTTCATATTTTTCACTGCTCAAGCTTCAATGATTGGGGGAACACCAATTTATAGGTCGAAATCTTACGGCATACCAGGATGACCTAAAAACAGGCCAATATTTATGTCGAAATAAAAGTTATTTTTTGTCCATTCACGTTTTTTACTAGGGTTCTGTTGGAAAGAGCATTTTTCATACTACCCAAAATGATTGCGACTCAATTTCACATTACCCATATCGGAGAATATTTTTCATTTGGCGGCGCCGTTTGTTTATTTCGTCGCGACGTCTCCGGCCGTGTGGTCGTCGTCGTCCTTGTGTTGAAGGTAAGTTTTTATCGTTTTAGTTATACTTTTATGTTAAAAGGTACACTGAAAAGTTTGAATATGCTGTGATTTTAAATTTGGAAACACGTAAACGTCAATCAATTCACGTTTTCCTCGATTTGCGTGCAGATAAGTAACTGTCGACGAAAGTGGCGCCATCCGATATGATGTTTTGAAGGAAGGAGACACAACATATTTACGTGAAAATTTTTGTTTTTTAGTGGTCTAAGTGCTTCAAAGAGGCTGTGAATGTTTTCTTCACACAATTTTTCATTAGGTAGGATGAGGTAAAAGGTAGTTTCAGTCTTAACTTTCATATAATTGACATGAAAACATATGGTAGTCCACTGCTATCAGTGATTGAGTACCTTGATATTTGGCATTTCTTATTAATTTGAGCGTATTCTCTATCCATATGTCCTGATAGTAAGTGACAATACTCTGCCAATATGTTTCCATAGTTTTCACATTCATTTTCCAGTCCTTTACATAACATCACAATTTATAATCAACAAAACTCAACTCCTTCGTTACTTCACAACACTGACAGCATGACAGACTGACAGTCAACTATTGTGTGTGTGAATGCTGAAACAGGATAGCCACTTTGCTGACTGGCTCATATGAAATAAGATAAAAATGATCCTTTATATCATTTCCATCTGGAGGATCGAAGTCAACGGAAAAGGAAGGCCACTTTTAAGCCTGAAGGTCTAGGCCGCCAGATGCCAGTCGGCAGTCACCACCAAATTTATAATAGATTTATTCATTATTATACTTTGAGACCCAAAGGTCACTGGATCGGCATCACATTTTCAGTTTCAATATAGTAAAGGCTTTTTATTTGTATGATGTGAAATATTTTCATGAATCAGAATTTAATTATCCCTAGGTACCTGGTAGAGGTTTCGGATTTAATGCTCATTGTTGGTGTGCAGTCAGGATTTTTTGACAGGTCCAGATAGGGAATCCTGAGCAATTTTATAGTAAAGTGGTCTCCTTATAATCACCACACATTTTATCAAAAGTATTTGCAGAACTCATTCAATGAAGAATTTTATCAATGTTGCACTCATTTCTTAGACGACCTAGGCTGCATCTTTTTTTAGTTCCTGTTGTATGACATATTTTCCATTTTCCACTGCATAAAGAAAAAAATCGTTTGAGATCACCAAACAGCTTTTCTTTTTCTGGCAGGTCTGCACAACCAAGCGGTCGCTGGCGAGGACGTCGGCCGTCCTTGTGGGTAAGGTCATCTGCTCAGCCTTTGTGGAGATCAGCAAGACGTCACCAAGATGAAGACTTCGCTGGAGCAGAAGCCGCTGACCCGTGTCCGATCGGGCAGGTCATGCTCGACGGCACGAGCCACAACTTGAACGACTTGGTGACATCAACAACATGGTGGAGCAGGTGAATGAGTTTGGCGACGTGTTGTGCGACTGCAAGAAGGGTTGTCTGCGTGTTCTGGCCGGCGGAGCGGCGACGCTGCGCAGTCTGTGCTGGCGGTGAGCAGCTGGCCGTGCTGACCGCGCGCGCCCACATGCGCCGACAACCTGTGCGGCTTCGACGGCCCCGGGACAGCCCGATGCCGCCCACTATGCGACGCCGACCGCGCACTGTCCGCACGGCCACATGGAGGTGTGCCCGCGCCTTTTGCCCGCACGCCGCTACCTCGCAGCTGGTCTGCAACCACGCCGTCGCCGCCTGTAGCCCGATAACAAAACGGCTGTCTGAAAATGCCGCGTGTTCTTTGTGATGTTGCTACTGTGATGGTTGCTACTGCTGGTCTGAGACTCGATGTTTCCATTCGTCCTTTACATGTTAAGGATTTGATAATGATTAGCTTAGTCCGAGCTTAGGTCGTTTATATCATTTGTTATATGGCATATTTTGGATCAAAGCAGTACGACACTGCCTCCTGCTTTTGTGATGTATGCTGGCAAGACGCAGGTTCCGGTCGCAGGTCACCCGGTTCCAATGTGGTCGGGCTGGCATGCGATAATGTGATGTTGTTTTGCTCGTCTCTGTGTTCCACACTTGATGATGTTTGTGAATCTAACCCACATTGTATAGTATTTTTGTTTGTTTGCGGCCGATAGCCTTGTAAGTTGTAACCGTGGCAATACAGTTTTTCCTGCTATAATTCTCCAATATTCAAGCGTGGGTGGATATCTTTCTGTATTCACGTATTCCCTTCTTCCAGTACAGTCAGAGAATATCAATACAGTATTCATACGGATTATTCAAGCCCTGTATAATTATTTGAGGTGTGCCGAATCCGAAACGCGACCGATAAAACTACTAGCGGAAAATGTGACATGATGCCATGGGTTTGTGAAAAGTTTAGGTACCACGTAGCATTCAACTTACTGCATTTCTGTTTCAACTCAGTTTAACGTATTTCAACGAACATAACATCAGAAATGGCAGCCAGTACCTGCTTCACCTGTCACGGAGAACGCTCAAAAAATTGAGTGTAGATGCTGGCCGGCACTCAATTTTTTGAGCGCCAGCTGACTGTCGTCTGTCGTGGCGCTCAATTTATTGAGTATCGCGGTCCCGAGCGACAAGTGGCGCTCAAAAAGTTGAGCGTCTTTAGGGCATTTTCTTTCCAAAAACACCGATATGAATTATCACGGCAAGTGTTCGAGAAGAAACCTTGTTGCTCTCTCTTGCCATTGATACCTTATTTGGATACGATATTTGCCGTAGTGTGACGCTAACGGCATTGTAAAATACCATCGTTTCGCCTATTCCTTCATAATGGGGCCCGCTCAATTTTTTGAGCGCTCAATTTTTTGAGCTTTTCCCCCTTGTGCGTGGGACTGAGGTAAGGAAAAGTCACCACCGCTGGCGAACATTGGTGCGGTAAATGGCAAACACAAATGCTGCGCAGAAAAGACAAATGTGTACAGACAACATTCGTTCGGACGACAATGTCAAGGCGAATCAAGAAGTTCTTCATGCGATTGTTAGTTATCTGTCGTGCTATTTTAGTATGATTGTTATTAGCAGTTGATTTGTGAAATGTATTATCAAAATCAATGTTTATTGAACGCAGATTCAGTTTATTTTCAGATGTACCTAGGTACCCTTGCACTTCACTCATCTCAAGCTGTTCAAACACCCTTGACAAAGTCGATTAAGATGAAACGTTGGGTATAATTTATACTGTGTTTTTTCTGCATTATTAACATATTCATCATATATACAATATAAGGGCCACATGCTTTTTACAGGGAGACATGTCAGACAGCCCAGTAGGATGAGGCTTCGTCAAGCGTCATTTTTAGCAAAGCTTTTCTTGCTTAAAATCCATTCTGCAAAACATGGCAGGGCTTACACTTTGGCTTACACTTGACTCCCAGCTGTTGTGTCTTTGCTATGCGATGTTAAACATATAAAACATCTTACTATTCATGCATGCGCCATGACTCATGTAATCTTTTCACAGCCAAGACGCTCCTAAGGTACTGGGAATGTGGGAAGTGCAGCAGCATCAGTGCAGCACCGATGGTCGGATGCGACGGCTGCGATAAATGGTACCACTTCCGTTGTGCGGGACTGACTAAGGAGCCAGGTAAGTGCAAATGTTTTCTGTCTCAGTATTTTTGTTGCAGCTATAGTGATCAATGAAATATTTTCCAAACTGTTCAGCCTAACATGTATTTCAAACAATCTGCTTCCCAACCAAGGGCGTCGCCACAGGGGGGGGGACGGAGGGGATCTCGTCCCCTCCACTTTTTAAAATTTTAACATTACGCCTATGGCGTTGCATGGAAAGAATCGACTTAAATGGTCCTCGTCCCCTCCAAAATGGTCAATGTCCCCTCCAGTCGTCGCACCGTGGCGTCGCCCCTGTTCCCAACTACACAAATTTACCCCGCGTTCGATGTCTCACGGACGACGAAGATTCTACGCCGTCCGGCCAATCCCGTTCAAGGTCAGCGGGGGCTCGGCTGCGGTTATGGAGCGTGATTGGCCGGACGGCATAGAATCTTCGTCGTCCGCGAGACATCGAACACGGGGTTAGTCCAACAATGTGCCAATATGGAATTTTCAGGTTCAGTTGAATGAAATAGGAACAATGATAATTGTAGATTACGTATACCTGCAAGAGAGGAAAACAGAATACATTGTATTGCTTGTCCTTCACCGATACTGTTATTTTTCCATTTCTAGAAACACCGACATGGCGATGCAGGTGGTACTGCCTGGTGAGGCCGCGGTCTCCGGAATCGCCTGCAGACGAAGTCACCTGGCGTCCATCTGCACATCACTTGCAGCAGTGAGGCCTGCTGACAGCGTCTGGCAGTGTCGGCAACGTGCCAGACAGCTATCTGGAGTCCTGCTCACCGCAGGTCGCCGACAGGAGGGGCGACGCATCGTCTCCGAGGTCGCCTCAGCAGCAGTGAGACCCCACTGGCCGTCTTCTTAGGCTTCAACTAGATTGCGAACAACCTATGCTGAGACAACGCCCATGACGTGTGATCGGGTACCGCTACCGCACTGCGTGCCTGTGCCCGCCGTGAGCCGCTAGTGAATGGGTTCGACCATGAGAATATGTGTTTATGTTGCTTTTACTATTGTTTATACGTTGAAGTGACGAATTGTTTATTTTTCGCAAGCCTCCGCTGTCCGGTTGCCTGCAGCTCCATGCAACGCCAGCTGTACTGTTGTTTTAATGTTGTCTCTCCGCTCAGCTGTACTGTTGCCTCTCCGCTCCGCTCATAACAACCTATGCTGAGACAACGCCCATGACGTGTGATCCGGTACCGCTACCGCACTGCGTGCCTGTGCCCGCCGTGAGCCGCTAGTGCATGGGTTCGACCATGAGAATCTGTGTTTATGTTGTTTTTTATACTATTGTTTATACGTTCAAGTGACGAATTGTTTATTTTTCGCAAGCCTCCGCTGTCCGGTTGCCTGCAGCTCCATGCAACGCCAGCTGTACTGTTGTTTTAATGTTGTCTCTCCGCTCAGCTGTACTGTTGCCTCTCCGCTCATATATGACACCCTCTATATGAATGGCACTACTGATTGTCACACCCACTGCCCGTATTGTCCGTAGTGGTGTCTACGTCCATGTTAATACAGCGTGCAGAATCCAGATTCTATTGAGGAGAGTTGAGCCAAGTCACCATAGGCTCGGGAAGAGAGCAACGTGGAGGCCCACTGCCCCTTCCCCGGCCCCCACTGGGGGCGCCAGCCACTCCAACTTTTGACTGGATGTCAAGAGCGTCGCCACGAGGGGAACGAGTCGCCGGCCAGCCAAGGTAGCCAACGGCGTGTGAAGGTTGCCTGACCTCGAGGAAACTGAGATGGTACCAACGGAGGTTTTGTTAAGTAGGCGACCAAAATTCGAGCGGCAGCAACCTGGGCACCTTCACAGATAGCAGTGCCGCGTATCAGGGCGCCTTCGACGTTGAGCTGGGCGCCGATCATCAGGACGCCGGGGGAATATGACCCAATATCCCCCGTAAATATGTGCCTGGGAAGGGAGACCCAACCATAAAACTGAAAGCTCGCCGTATTTTATCCACTATTTTTCGGGCAGGTCCATAGATTTCCGTCCTCAAAAGTGCGGGGATATTCCCCAGTGTTTGAGTTGGATGGGACTATAGTGGCGTTTACACCGACAGGAGATTCCCATTGCCGGCTGTGGGAAACTACTGTCGGTGTAAACGCCATTCATATTTCCTGCGTCACCCCTGTGGGGACGCCCTTACTCCATGGTGCCGAGCTTATCAATTTGGATATCAATGGAATCAAAATCTTATCGATCGATGAAGAACTAAATTACCCCGACCCGGAGAGCGTCTTTGGAATCAAAGCAGTAACACATGACGCAAGACTTCAGGCAAATAAATCCTTCTTGTCTGAAATAAAACATTTGTGTATTGATAAGCACGTTTTATAAGCAATGGTAGCAAGATTCTCTATGTATTTGGTTAAAGTGATAATTTAGTAGCAGATACTTACCGTCGCATTTCGTTATTTTTAATTAATAATTTATATTGTCAGAACTAGCAACATGTCTCTTCACTCAACAATAATTACAAAAGTGAAAAAGAAATGATAAATTGCTTATATTTTGGTGAAACTAAAAATTAATTCAGCACATATTTTTTTTACAGCGTTGAAGTCCAGCTCCAAAGGACAGCTGACGATCGTAGCCGAGCAGGCTGTTTGGTACTTCTTCACTACTTCTTAGAAGTACCCGTTAGTACCGATCATGTCTCACATAATAAGCTATTGGAACAAAAATATCCATGTTCTTCTAATTATTCTCCTTTCACACTTTAAATAAATACTTTTGAAATGCATTTACTAATTAATTTCACAAAAACGGCTTGAAATTTTACAACGTAAAAATACTTGTTCCAATTTCCACCACGAAACCACCACTATATTACTTGCTTACAGAACCGTGCGCACAGTGCGCGCAGTTTTATCGTGACGTCAGAGGGTGCTTCCTCAATGGCGCCCCCTGGCGGGGAACGCGTGCAAAAAGTCCAGCTCTTAGGCATGTCCCCCGTGCAGATAATTACGAAAAACTAACACATCCAAAAAGTTAAAACGCCTGAGTCACTTTTTTTATTCTCTGAAGAATCGTTTGGCACAGGACAGTGCTACCAGATAAAGGAAAACCTCTGGCCCGGCTACACCCACATCACTTTTGGTCAAGCTTCAGACAAAATCTGACTATTCAAAAAATTTTAAGATTATTGAAATGGTTGATTCAATTATCGAATTAATGATAAAAAAAATTATTCTTACATAAAAAATCCTTTTTGAAAAATAAGATATTTTTGTTTTTCGGTAAATGCTTCCAAATGAAGGAACAAAAAATGTTCAGAACTAGCGCATTTCTTACGTTTGTGAAACATACAAAATTTGACGGGGTGTGTGTGCATTGATTTGAAATGCTAATAGGTGGGTTAAGACCTATTTACCGTGTTTTTTTTTGTCGATCGCATGGTACCGTCGATTTCTCAGTTCTCTATGTACCGTGCTGTCGATTTTTCCTTTGTTGGAGGCATCATGTTGAGACTAATTAGATTTATATAACTACAGTTAAATGTAAAGGAGAAATTAGGTACCACACTTTTAGCATGGTGATGGTGTCAGGAGCTTTGAACTGGAATGGAATAGCGGATTTGTAGAACGAGCTGAGGCCAGCACAAATCAGGAGCTTTTACACCCCAACAATCACTCCAGGCAAAGGTATTTCATTTTTTGTTCCGAAAAGAGTGCCTCGCTGATGAATGTGGTGCCTTGTAGAAGAATGCCAAGAAAACAGCCACCTGCCAGCTGTTGCAGAGGCTAAGCTCAGCCAATCAGCATGCAGTTGCTTTTAAAATGCGCAATATGATTGGTTAATGCCCTGGGTTAATGCTAAATAACCTTCTGCACCACCACTTTTCAGCAGTGTTCCATTTTTTGGAACTTTGGGTGGAAAATCGCATGTAATGGGTAAAATGTTTTCACCTCAAAATAAGAAACAGTGGCATTATTTCATTTTTGAAAAAAAATGTGTTATTCACTTCAACAGACAGGTTTCATATGACTTAACACTCCATAGTCCATGCATCCACATCCTTTTTTTCAGATCCTGTCAAGATGCTGACATGAGATCCTGCTTTATTTATTTTTCTCATCCTTAGATTTTTCATCTTCAATCTTCATTGGCACAACCAACCAAAATCCAGTTTTAGAACACTGCTAAGTGCTATTCAGCCTCTAGATTAAGTATAGATTATATACTACGGATATATAAATATACTCATAATATAACATACTCGTATATAAAAAATCATTCTGTAAATATGAATTATTTCTTTTCCATTCATTTTAAGCAAAAAATAATAATAATTTAACTACCTATAGCAAAAAAAAAACTACTTTAGGGAAAGTGGTATATCTCTTTTAACATCAGGGAACATGCGTGTCTCTAACTTGATTAGGTACAATTAATCATCTCATCTCATCACTGAAGCTCTGACCTTACATACTTAGAAGAAGGAACCTCAAACCTGCTGACTCCAGTACTCTGACTGAGAGGTGCATTGAGCCCAGGCATTATTTGTCTTTCATCTTTCAGACTGAACGATGAAACCAAGAACAAAGTTCATCGACAAGCTGTTTGTTTACATGAAAGGAGGAGCAGGTGGAAATGGTCTGCCAAAGCTGAACGGAATCGGCGGGAAGGGTGGCGATGTTTGGATCACCGCAAAAGAGAGTGGGTGACAGATGAACTTCTTGACTATTCACGTTTGTCTTGACAATTGTGCCTTGCTTATTACATAAATTGTACATTATACATACCTTCATACTTTCTTTTTCACAGTTTGACAAATTAAAATCACCTACTTTTGTGATGTTGTTTGACTATTGTACAAAGTACACTTACAGTATAGCAGCAACGTCAGCTGTTTTAATTTTTACCGTCGACAGATCAGACGCTGCGGAAGCTCAAGCTACAGAACCCGTCACAGCGGTTTACGGCCGGAGTGGGCGAGCACAGCCGAAAGTTCCGGATCCAGGGCGAGCCGGGCGAGGACCGGGTCATCCACGTGCCGCCGGGCGTGCAGGTGTCCGCCGCAGACGGCACCGTCATCGGTGGGTTTCGGGACGAGCCCACAGCGCCGCGAACGTGCCACGCGTTCCTGTCAGCAGTCGTCTCTCGTACTCATATCAACGCTGTTATAATGGTCTCAGTATTCACATATCTTTGGTTTGGGTCAGGCTGTATCGTAGCGAGCAGCGAGACGCGACATATGCACCTTCAGTCAAGAATGGATCATGTGTCAGTGCATGGCTTAAATTTGTGTGTATGTTTTTAGTTGGATTTAGTCGGAGCAACAGCAGAAACCAATGAACATTTGAAATCATTCACAGGTAGTTATCCAAACATTGTGCGATGGGACGCTGTCAACCCTTACCGTCTAACTCCGCGCTCTCAGGTGACTGTAACGTGGCCGGTGACCGCGTGCTGGGGGCGCGCGGCGGTGACGGCGGCGGCCCGCACACGGGCTACATCGGCCGGCCGGGCACCGCCCGACAGCTCTACCTCACACTGAAGCTGATCGCTGACGTAGGCCTGGTGGGGTTCCCGAACGCCGGCAAATCGACCCTGCTGAGGGCGGTGTCTCGCGCCCGGCCCAAGGTGGCCAGCTACCCCTGTGAGTCCGCTGATGGTGTTGAATGGTGGAAGGGATGTGGGAAGGCTAGTAGCTAGTTTGAAGACGAAAGTTTGACGATGCAAAAAGCAGCTTACTTGCTTACATACAGCTCACTAGACATCGAATGATGCCTGATATGTTTCTTAGTCGATTACTTAAATAAATGAGACATTCGTCGTAATATACAATCTCATTCCCTACCGTAGAATGGGAAGCCGTAGAACCGTAGAATGGGAGCCTTGTACCTAACCTGAAAGGGGCATTCCACGTCAAGTGAGACAAAAAATGACCATTTTGAACCTCACCTCCTCCGATTTTTGCGAAACTTTGTGAAATTACTCATCTATATGTGAAAAGAAAGGAGACATGTTTTTGTCAAGATATGACGTCACGTTTCCAAGATACACGTCATCAAACATTGACTTAGGCAAGGCACATTATCATCTTTAACCCGCGCCCTGCTGGGGGTCCTGGATTTCCACGCCCTGCTGGGGGGGGGGGGTGTTTGAACACCCCCCCCCTTGTAACTCGGCTCCTGGGCCACGTAGCGATACGCGGAAGGCGGCGTTCGAAAGAGCGTCAAAAATAATGACGAAATCACTTCGGTCAATTTTTTGGTCAGGTCAAAGGTCAGGTCACCAGAGGTCATTGAAGGCAAAATTTCGCCGATTTCCAGGTCGAATGTCGAAAATTTCCAAGAAGCCAACGCATAACTCGGGAACCAATAGAGCTACAGCGCCGCGGAAAAGCGCATTCGATAGCCCTATTAACGCCCTTTCTGAGTAATTCTCTCAGATTTGACCTAACGTCAACGGTTTTGCCTGCAGGGGGCAAAAACTGCAAAAATAGCCGATTTTTTTTAAATCAGTTTTTCTGCAATAACTTTTGACCCAAGCCTTGTACGAGCTTACTTTTACCGGCATCGTGTTCCTCTCGTCAAGACGCATCGAATGAACTATAACTTGACCTTGAAAGGTCAACTTGAAAATTTGACCTCAGGTCAAGGTCATGACCTGACCGGAAAGGGTCATGTTGCATATCAGTCGATCCGTATCGTCGAGCTGAACACATCTAAGGCGTTTTCATCGCTCTAGCATGCCTCTATCAAAAGTTATTTGCGAAAAACTGTTAGATACCATTCGTGACCTAAGATGACCTCAGGGCATAAACAAGGGTCACGGACACCATTTTTAAGTTCAGTGTGTCTAAACCACTTGTAATTCGGTGTTTGGGAGTGTTTATAATGTCTTTCATCCAAAAGAGGCGCATTTCAATTTTCTCCCATTGACTTATAATGGGGAGGTCGCAAAATTGACCTGACCTTAGGTCATCGATATCAAAATTCTGAGATATACATTTTGTACATGCTATTGCTCTTAGCAATCGCTGAAAGTTTCAAAGCGATCGGTCACTCAGTGTAGCTATGACAGACATTGAAAGTTTTTATGAGGTGAGGTCACTTCAAGTGACCTGGTGACCTGACCTTGAATGACCTTGGTCTGAAATTTTCACAACATGTGTAGAATTGATGTATGATAAGGTGTACCAAAAACGGCGGCGCTCCGCGCCGCCGTTTTTGAGATATTCGCGAAAAACCACAAGGGGGGGTGTTCAAACACCCCCCCCAGCAGGGCGCGGGTTAAAGCGTCATAACCATTGAAGTTTTAGACATATCACCATGAGACAAAGTGTGAAATGGAGGGAATAGATCAGGCTTTAATTTGAGGATAACAATATTGACATAATTAGCTAATTAATGAACTAAATTAAAATTCAAAAAATAAATTTTGATTTTCTGAAAAATGGGTACCCTTCGATTTTGCTGATTTTTACATATTTCATCCTCCCATACATTAGCTACATCATATAAAAAATCCAGAATGGGTCGACGTCTACGTGCCTTTTGGACTTCGGAATGTCTGGCACTCGCGAGTTTCGTTTTAGCAACCAAGGAGAGGTGCTACCCGGAGATGCTTCTTTCTGCCCCAAACCAAAGCAAACCTAGCCTGACCTGACGTGACCTGACCTAATCTAACATGCGTAAATATGTACAGCCCTCACGGCAGTTGCCGACTGGCCAAATGCTACTTAGATACGAACATTAGCCCTCACGACATTTGCCGGCTGGCCAGATGCTACTTAAAAAACGAATGCGTGTTTAAACACTTGAGGCTAACCGGCCACGAGCCAGCCACCTTTAGATTACGAGGTGGGTACACTCGGCACACTAACTACTAAGCCACGGAGATAGCTGGTCATCGCAGAGATGTAAGCCAGTTTTTTAATGATGCAATTGGACATTCTCCGGGCAGCGCCTCTCTTTGGTTGCAAAAAGGAAATACGCCTGACTCTCCCAGCGCTAGGGGAGAAAGGCCCGGTTTAGCCAAAAAAGGTATAAAAAAAACGGAATTTGAATTGTAGGTGGGGCGGTGGGGAACTTTATCGTGTGACAATTTCATGGCCCTAGATCAATATCTTCAAGATCTAATGAGGTTAATCGTGATGAAATTTGCTATGGTGACTATTTTGCGTTTATACGCCCATAGCTCTAAGAGTTACTGGCCGATTTTCCTATTTCTTCCTTTTTACGACATTTGTAGTGTTATGAGAATCTTTAGATAATCTAACCATAAATTTGGCAGTTAGTGGCCTGCTAAGAGTAAGATGTCGCCGGCAAAGGCGCGGGGATCATGTCCGTGAAGTTGGCGACGTCGCCAGCGACTTTTCCAGCGACGAGCACCGATTTTAGCCAAAACCTCGTCCAAGGTCAATTGGACCATGAGGATCACGAAAATCGAACCCATTCACCCCTAAACCTTGACCTTCAAGGTCAAATTCAAGGTCAAAGGACGGGGAACTGAAAAAGTGCCACTAAATATTGTCCGATTTTCAAAATTTTGGCACCAAAATGTAGCTCGTGCAAAGTTCTAGCCGCACATCGAAAACCATTTTCATCAAGGTCAAACTTCAAGGTCAAATTCAAGGTCAAAGGACGGGGAACTGAAAAAGTGCCACTAGATATTGTCCGATTTTCAAAATTTTGGCACCAAAATGTAGCGCGTGCAAAGTTCTAGCCGCACATCGAAAACCATTTTCATCAAGGTCAAACTTCAAGGTCAAATTCAAGGTCAAAGGACGGGGAACTGAAAAAGTGCCACTAAATATTGTCCGATTTTCAAAATTTTGGCACCAAAATGTAGCGCGTGCAAAGTTCTAGCCGCACATCGAAAACCATTTTCATCAAGGTCAAACTTCAAGGTCAAATTCAAGGTCAAAGGACGGGGAACTGAAAAAGTGCCACTAGATATTGTCCGATTTTCAAAATTTTGGCACCAAAATGTAGCGCGTGCAAAGTTCTAGCCGCACATCGAAAACCATTTTCATCAAGGTCAAACTTCAAGGTCAAATTCAAGGTCAAAGGACGGGGAACTGAAAAAGTGCCACTAAATATTGCCCGATTTTCAAAATTTTGGCACCAAAATGTAGCGCGTGCAAAGTTCTAGCCGCACATCGAAAACCATTTTCATCAAGGTCAAACTTCAAGGTCAAATTCAAGGTCAAAGGACGGGGAACTGAAAAAGTGCCACTAAAGATTGTCCGATCTTCAAAATTTTGGCACCAAAATGTAGCGCGTGCAAAGTTCTAGCCGCACATCGAAAACCATTTTCATCAAGGTCAAACTTCAAGGTCAAATTCAAGGTCAAAGAACGGGGAACTTGAAAAATGCTACGTCACCAGCGACTTTTCCAGCGACGAGCACCGATTTTAGCCAAAACCTCGTCCAAGGTCAATTGGACCACGAGGATCACGAAAATCGAACCCATTCACCCCTAAACCTTGACCTTCAAGATCAAATTCAAGGTCAAAGGACGGGGAACTGAAAAAGTGCCACTAGATATTGTCGGATCTTCAAAATTTTGGCAACAAAATGTAGCACGTGCAAAGTTCTAGCCGCACATCGAAAACCATTTTCATCAAGGTCAAACTTCAAGGTCAAATTCAAGGTCAAAAGACGGGGAACTGAAAAAGTGCCACTAAATATTGCCCGATTTTCAAAATTTTGGCACCAAAATGTAGCGCGTGCAAAGTTCTAGCCGCACATCGAAAACCATTTTCATCAAGGTCAAACTTCAAGGTCAAATTCAAGGTCAAAGGACGGGGAACTGAAAAAGTGCCACTAAAGATTGTCCGATCTTCAAAATTTTGGCACCAAAATGTAGCGCGTGCAAAGTTCTAGCCGCACATCGAAAACCATTTTCATCAAGGTCAAACTTCAAGGTCAAATTCAAGGTCAAAGAACGGGGAACTTGAAAAATGCTACGTCACCAGCGACTTTTCCAGCGACGAGCACCGATTTTAGCCAAAACCTCGTCCAAGGTCAATTGGACCACGAGAATCACGAAAATCGAACCCATTCACCCCTAAACCTTGACCTTCAAGGTCAAATTCAAGGTCAAAGGACGGGGAACTGAAAAAGTGCCACTAGATATTGTCGGATCTTCAAAATTTTGGCACCAAAATGTAGCACGTGCAAAGTTCTAGCCGCACATCGAAAACCATTTTCATCAAGGTCAAACTTCAAGGTCAAATTCAAGGTCAAAGGACGGGGAACTGAAAAAGTGCCACTAAATATTGTCCGATCTTCAAAATTTTGGCACCAAAATGTAGCGCGTGCAAAGTTCTAGCCGCACATCGAAAACCATTTTCATCAAGGTCAAACTTCAAGGTCAAATTCAAGGTCAAAGAACGGGGAACTTGAAAAATGCTACGTCACCAGCGACTTTTCCAGCGACGAGCACCGATTTTAGCCAAAACCTCGTCTAAGGTCAATTGGACCATGAGAATCACGAAAATCGAACCCATTCACCCCTAAACCTTGACCTTCAAGGTCAAATTCAAGGTCAAAGGACGGGGAACTGAAAAAGTGCCACTAGATATTGTCGCATCTTCAAAATTTTGGCACCAAAATGTAGCGCGTGCAAAGTTCTAGCCGCACATCG